TCCAAATGGATCGGTGGACGCGTTCTGTTCATCCCTCCTTTTCCTCACCACTTCATCCAGTACAGGGTCATTGGGGAAGCCAGAGCCTATCCCCGCAAGCGATGGGCATGAGGCAGGTCACACCCTGGATGGGACGTCAGTCCATCGCAGGGCGCACCCAGACACAAACACACACACACTCACACCAGGGCCAGGTTTCCCACAAGCCAGTTAACCTACCTGTCTATCAATGGAGTGTGGGAGCAAAAAGGAGCACCTGGAGGAAACCCATTTCAACACAGAGAGAACATACAAACTCCACACAGATGGTACCCCAGGTCTGTAATTGAACCCAGGGCCCCAGCACTGTGAGGCTAGTTATTCACATACAACAGACTCCTATGATTGTTTATACCAGGGTGGCACCTACACCTTTTCAATTCCTAAAACATACCGCGCGTTTTAAATGTTAGGACACGTTTCAAAAGTTACGAAAGCCTCGAAACGCCACACCCGCCTATTGTCTTACCCATCTCAGGATCTAAAAATCCCAAGCGTAATTTTCATGTTTATTGAGGCATCAGGAATTATTTTTCGAAAGAGTCAAATGGGTGTTAAAGAAGCGGCCCAGGTAGGGGTACCGGGCTAATTTGCACACAAGGGTGCCAGTGCGCATCCGGAGCCTTTTCTGTTCCTGAGGTGTAAATTGAAACCAAAGAGAGGTGCACAGACAAGGGGAGGCTGTGCAGGTTGTATTGATCCCAGGATCCCATCCAGCGTTTTCTTGATAGAAGCCAGGGTATCAGGTTCAGCTCCTGGGCCCCATGGCCCCTTGCGTAACAAAAAAAAAACGTTGCCTGCTGATCTCGGTTTTCAATCCCCTTCCCCGCAGTTTATACGTGTATTTTCTGTTTGCATTTGTGTTAGGCTGGCTTTCACAGTTCCCTTTGAGGATTTTGGATACTTGAAGTAGGTGCCCTAAAAGTCTTCTCTGTTCCTGACTAAAAGCTTCGGTTTCTTTAGTCTGTCAGAATAGGATCTTCCTTTAAGCCCTGGAATGTATCTGCTCTTCTGAACCGATTCCAGAACAGCAATATCTTTTTCTTTTTTCCTGACATGTATTCATGGTTGTGCTCTGCCTCGGTTGTGCATGACATGACATAACACTGGAGGGTTTGTGTTAGTAAATGAACTTTGCCAGTGATCAGCTCTGCATGCTTAATAGCGGCAGTCTTGTTAAATGAGTCTGGAAATTGATGTTTTAATTATTTATAACACCTGCTGGATAGAGGCTCACCAGGACCTGGGCTGGCCACCCATGATGTATGACGCATTCCTACTGCAGCTGACTGTGGAAAGATATTCAAAGAAACATTATCTGCTGGTGACATTTTTACACCTTTTTCCATAGGAAATATCTGGGCTGAGAAAATGTACGGTTTCAGTACCTGAGTGTGGGCAATGTGCGCTTTAAGAAGAATGCGAAAAGCAGTTTTCTGTTGATTTTTTCCCCCAAAATCATACCAAAGAACAGGAGGATGTTTTTGCAGCACAGCTAAAGAAATGCAGCAGAAAGTATTTGAAGTATTTGGATTAGGATGAATGTGAGAGACCTACAGTAGCTCTGCAACACTTGTGTAGTTTTTTAACATGGCCATTGCATCACAACATAAACAACCAAAAGGTTTATTTGCACTTTTATCAATAATTTTCTTTTTTATCCTAATTGGAATAGAATACATCTTGGAAATACAATTCTGCTTGTCAGAAAGCTCTTTTCCATATTAGTGCTTAAATCTTAGGAATAGAGAAAGATTTATTTTTTTCCTCATTTAACATTATGATTATCTTGTTTGTGAAGTGTGACCCATCTGACACTGGTAAAAACAAAATCTTTCTTCACCCACAAATCCTGTCTTTAACCTTCAGAATTATCCATTTTAATGGAGGTAACTTAGATTCTATGACTAAATGTCTATCAGTATTTGCATTTTGGTGGTTGTATCGTCAAAATTTCAAATGTTATAAGCTTTTTAAAGCTATATGCATGATACTCCCAGAAATAAACAACTGTCAGGAACAATTTGGAGCTAACTGCTCGCATTTTCTATACAGTTGCTTATTACCAGTGTTGTGTCCAGTGCCTCCCAGTTGTGATGCTTATGGTGAGATTTTCACTGCATTTCGGTGCTTTTGACATGGAATGACCACTCCCTATTTTTGTTATGTGTAAAAATTGTGATTAAAATGGTAAAAAGTCCTTTGCCTTTGGCGATTCATTTTAATCAAAAAGCATTTGTGTTCTGGATAACTGTAAAGCCTCTTTATCTACTGTAGATTACGGTTATGGTCGTAATCCTTTTTTGGAAATAATGAGTTCACTGAACCTCTGTAATTTACTCTCAGGGGTTTGTAATGTCCTGGGGAAATGTTAAATGGCAAGGGCACATCTATATTTAGCACATTCTGCTGGGATCCACGTTGTGCCATTGTTTGAATTGGAGCGTGCGTTTCATTTGCAGCGCACAGATCATGAGAGAAGTCTCGATCAGCGACTTCACAGTCCACGCCAGTCTTTTTAATAGAAGTTTTTTTTCCTTTGAGATGCTGTACAAAAGCTTTACAGGACGGTGTGTTGGCTTAATCAAGGGGTGTCTGGATTTCCGGGACTTCTGAGGGAGCGTGTGACCTTTGTGATGCATTTGGAATATTTTGGATAAAAATAGTTGCATTCCCAGGGAAGACCTTTCTCCCAACCGAGATTTTTACAGCTTCTCATGGCAGGAAGTCCTCTTCACAGCCGACTCTGCTGCCGGGCCTCTGTAATTAAATTTTGAACACGCGGTGAAAATATGCAGACGTTTTTTTTTTTCCTTTTCTTCCATTCAGTTTTGATGTATTCTCGCTCTCAGTTTAGGTCTGAAAAATACAGTTGGGTGACTGATAAACTAACGTAGCTGAGCCCCTCAGCATCAGTGATAAGTAAAGCAGGATCATTGCTTCGTTTGGACCTTCATTCCTTCGTTCTGAAGAGCACAATGAATCCAAAGACTAAAGTTATAATACACTGTGACACACCTGGGGCTTGGGGTGATATAGCAAGTGATCTTTTAATAGGTCTCTTTCCTACCTTACAAACACAGCAGTAAGGTAGAACACTAGGGCATTCTAAATAGTCTCTCTACAACTAAAGCTCTTCTCTCAAAACTCCTACTCTTAAAAACTTGCATCACACGAACTCATGCAGGCATGCCGTTTCACTTACAGTAGGTCCCCTCTCTGTCTCCTTTTGTTCACCCCCCTCCTGTATTCTCTTACCTGGAAGCCTTAGCTTCCTGTTTTGGTTCATCACCTGACCAATTGTCCTTCCCCAGGCTGGTCAGCTGACTGCGGGTGGCAGGATGTCCCCCCCCCCCCCACACACACAGATTTCTGGAAAATGTAGTCCATGCCGGAGCTGCCATCTTGCCTGAACCTTGCGTCCCCTCCCATCACTGTATTCCATATCCCTGTTTTATTGATATCATTTACATGCTCTGCTGTTCTGATGATTAACAAGAGTCTAGTAGTAGAATGTTAATGTAGCCACATGCCTTTGAGGTCATGTAAGCATACTGGCAATGATAACAATGACATTTGTGTAACAAGTTGAACTTCGGTACAAGACTGAAATACATTCATTGCAATCGACATAGGTCCCTTTTAGTCAAATATAGTATGTCATTACAAGATCTAAAGTGCTGCACTGTGTAAATCGCATCGCACTAACAATGCGCTATGTTCAAAGCAGAATTAATTAACATAAGCCATCCACATCACCACCTGTTGACTAGAGTGCGTTTACTCTTGGCCAGGGCCGGCTTTGATCGATTAGGAGGCTGGATTGATGCACTCCTGCCCACGGAGGGTTTCTTTAGGTCTGAATGAATGGGACTTCCCATTTAGAGATGGACTTCAGCTGTCCAGCTGAAGGTGATAAAAATAAATGATGGGCTTGCAGGCCTAATTGTTTTGTTTACAGTGCTTTCTTCTAATCCTAGTGCCATGATAATACAGCAGTACGGTCTGGAAGTACAGAACAGTCTTGTCACAGAATGTACAGCAACATGTTACTCTTTGTACCCAAATGTCAGTTCCTTGTGTTGTTTTCTAACCTATTATTCTTTTGTCTTTAATAACACATGCATATAACGGAGTTTTTTCTCACGTGTTGAGGCTTAGTGGAAAAGATATTAGAAGACAAAGGCCTTTTTTGTTTTTATGAAGGTTAGAAAAAGAGTCTGTTGGCGAGGTGTAAACCACAAAATGTTCCAATTAGCCCTTGCAACACAGTCTTTTTCTATTCAACTCTCAGTTTTCTTACAATCTAGTTTGATGACCATAAAAGGCATTACATAGAGTGTTGGCTTTTTTAAAGATGTCTGCAGTGAACAAAAACAAGACTTGGTGTCCAGTTTGAATATAATTACTGTGTAAACAAATTTCTCTTCTCATTGAAGTACCCACTTGGATTAAGTGTAAATAAGTCAGTAAATAAAGCAGGAGCTCAATTTCACATGGCTTTTAAAACACATTGTAGCAATATCTGAAATGCTTTTATAAATCTACTTATTTCTTAGTACGTAATACACTTGCTTTTCCTATGTAACTATTAGTTAACTAATAATATTGAATATGTTTGTATACAGACATTCTGTGCCTGTGTACTTACTCCTCGTTTTAACATTTTATTTCCTTAAAAAAATAAATTGTACACCCAGGATGTGTAGATTTTGTCCCTTCCCTGCTGAGACTGACTCAGTACATCAGTGATGGGATTCCACATTGGGCTTCTTTTCACCATGATGAGAACCTGCAAGTATGATAACGTCTGGTTATTTGAACATGAGAAAACCGGAGTAAAACTCTACAGACGGTAGACTGCTTTGATATGGAGTTCACAGAATAGTGAACACTGCTAGTGCGCTCGGGTGAATATTGCCAGACTCCAGCTCATTTGTGCTTTTCTCTCTGTCTTTAAGGCCAGAAAACCTGCCTTCATCTTCATGGCATCTTTCCCTATGTATACGTCCCATACGATGGCTACGGACAGCAGCCAGAGAGGTACCTGCGGCAGGTGGCTTTCAGCATCGACAGAGCGATCAATGTGTCCATGGGGAACCCTTCCTCCAGCGCTCAGCATGTGTTCAAGGTGGCGCTGGTCTCTGGAATGTAAGTCCCACCATTGCTCTCCATTTCCAAGCATGTGTAAGGGCCAGCAGAGGGTCTATATAGC